TAAACATAGTCGCGGACGGATTGAGTAGGATGTGGGAGGGCCAGGACCGTGTGGTGGGGGACGGGAGCAAGTGGACGGTCAGCGAGGACTGGGAAGCAGTTACGGGGTTGGTGAATGATGTCTTTGGGGTCAGTATAAGCGATGGGGTGTTGCAGGGTGAGGACACCACTGACTGGCCGGCGATGTTAAGCAGGTTTGTGAATGAGCCGGTGTTCACGGAGGTCGTGGAGGCTTTGAGAGTGCTGGAGGGTCCTGTGAGCGACAAAGTGCAACAGAGAGTGCGACACAAAGCAGCACAGTACATGGTGGAGAATGATAGGTTATGGAAGGTAGGGGGTAATGAAGGGATTTGAGAACACGCACGGGTGGAGTGTGTAACGAAGAAGGAGACCATAGCATTGGCCAAAGTGCAGCATGGTGAGGAGGGTCATTGGGGAAGAGACTCCATAAAGCTTGCACTAATGGATAGGATTTGGAGTCCGAAGCTGGACAAATCGATCATGGAAGCCATCGCGAGTTGCCCGGAGTGCAAAAACTTCGGTGCCACTCACCTGCATGCCCTCTTAAACCCCATCACACGACGCCACCCATTCGAGCTCCTGGTGGGTGACTACCTCTCAATGTCGAAGGGCAAAGGTGGGTACAAAACCATTGGATTATACTTAGACACCTATTCGCAGCGAGTTTGGGCCTTCAAGTTCAAGGTCGCCAGATTGGGCGCGACCACTTCGGCAAGCTTACATTCACTGTTCAATGGATACTTACCGCCGGAAACGTTCATGACTGACAATGGCACCCACTTTGCCAACAAGGAGGTGGAAGCCCTCTGTGCCAAGTGGGGGACCAAGCAACACTTTACGCCTGCTTACTCCCCATGGGTCAATGGGCTTGTAGAAGGTACTAACAAAATTCTGCTCCATGTTCTAAAGCGTCTGTGTGCACCGAAGTTAGGCGAGGACTCGGAGGAGTTCACAGCCATGACCTGGGACACACTGCCGGACAAATGGCCCGAGTTCTTGGAGGAAGCGGTACGTATAATCAACAATCGTATTCTACCATCTGTCAAATTCTCGCCGAACGAGCTCCTTCTGGGTGCGGTGGTGAACACTCGCCGAACCACGGTGGAGGAAGCTACCTCCATCCTCCCGCAACAAAGCGTTGCAGTGCAGGCCGCCTATGTGGCACAGCAACAACTTGACAGTTATAACGCTTTTGTGAGTCACGCTGACATGCCTAAATTTTGGCTAGACGTCTATGCTGTGAATTGTGACATTTTCACGTATAGATCCGTATCGAGAGGACTGTAATTGAGACCCAGATTGACAGTCAAAGTCAATACTGAATCAGTCTAATAAGTTGAAGGGACCATATACCCATACTACCACAAGTTGGTTAGTTTACCTATCCCCGATACTACCTTCGGATAGCAGTCTACCTGTTTGTCAAGCAGGATTATACCAGACTTGGACTACATCCAAAGGATGACCATTTACGTATGACATACCAAGAGTATTCTTATTGGACCTTACACTGGCAGGAGTTTGGAAGAACTTGCTCAAGTAACCATGAGCCAAGGATTGACTCAAAATGACTTTCTAGAACTCAGGAATTATCAAATACTCCTTCTAGAACAAGATCATGCATTAATCTAAAAGACTGCGATTTAGTCTAATAGACCAATCAGGTTGCATGGTTGAGGAAAATGACTAGAAGAGCGATCGAAGTACTGCGAGGCTCCGAAGACATATCAAATGAATGTCAAAGAGTCCTGACGTAGAAAATATTGAAGAATGCAATTAAATGAATACTATGTGTAACTCCCTTGAAAGAGTATAGGCACAATGGGTGTCTATTGAAAGAGAGAAGCAATTAGTTTAATCCAGATGAATCAGATTGATAGGATTAGAATCGAGGAGAGCTGATTTGCCTCCGGACGAGGTGACAAACGATCGAAGTAAGTGTTGAACAGCAGTGACAGCTGAACACCATTCGAGTCATTCTCCAAAACAATTAAATTAAATGAACATTGAAGTACCTACCTATATTTGGAGGTATACTAGAATCTTGGAACCATTATGGACCAAATAAGGACATGAAGATTCAAATTAAATGATATCTGACCGATTGTAGAAGTTTCCTTGCGGTTCCGAACGATTATTGTATTAAATTAATTGTACTGTGCGACTCTATATTCTGTATGTATAAATAGCGATCCGATGTATCTGGAATACAAGTGATTTTGGGACAATGTTGCAGTGCTAATCCATAAAAAGGAAAGACACACTCCTGCCAGACTGAAACCTCTTTGCTAGCAGCCATTCGGGCCCGGCACTTGTGAGTATAGGAACGTTGTGTTCTGCTCCTTGTGACTGCGAGAAGTATATCCAGTTGTTGGGTATTCTTCGAACTTAGGATCAGTCGTTGGTCTTAAGGGCAAATCACGCTGTGTGGTTGTGCCAGCACATAGTTCTAGCCCTCTGTAGGGGTCTGTGTGTTTCGGTTTTAATTTACTTTGATTCGAACCCCCAATTCTTGATATACCCATATCAATACAATCAAAGCACAAATCGTGCTGAATCTACCTTAATCAAAGGAATATACCAAATCCTTAGAACGATTCAAATTGATTGATCAAAGCTTCTTACTTAGCTCTCAAAGCTTTGCGGAACCTTTGCCAATGCTACCCCTTGCTATTAAATAAATTTGATAGCAGTGAACTCGCATATTGTGTATTAGATTGGTTGGTTGGAGTGCCCATTAGATTCCTTCCTTTCTCTTTCACACAAAAATGAGGCAAGCTCGTTAACGTGGTGAAGTGGAAAGCAGTTTTCGACCGCCGGGTGTTGAAGAAGGAAGGGAAAGAGGTTGTGTATAGGAAGGGTGATTTGGTCCAGGTATACTGGAGCGACCTTGACTACACATTCAAGACTATAAAGAAGATCATACCCAAATGGTCCCACCCTTATCGTGTTGTGGAGCGGAGCGTCAATTCCTACACATTGGAAATGATGGATGGTCAACTTATAGAGGGGAAGCAGTTTAATGCGCGGAGGCTTCGCGAATTCAAACCGCGATTGTTTGCCGTAGGAAGGAAGCTGGAGAGGATGCGTGGGTGGTGAGGGCGCTGCCATTTTTTATTGGGGGCACATGGAGTAGGGTCTCTTGGGAGTAGCTATCTTATCTAGTATCTTATCTATATCTGTGTTGTACAGTGTTTGCCAGTATCGGTAGAGTAGGCACGTAGTAGGTAGACAGAGGTCAATCAATGACGACGAGTCCATTCATCATATCAGATAGAGAGACCGACCAGCCCATTGTTACTATCCACGGCCCTCCTCCGCTTCTTCGACAATCCCAACGGGCCAGCCTCTGGCAGTTCAGGGGGCATTCTCCTTCTCCTCGCGGCATCCGTTATCAGCCAGTCCAACTTCCGGTTGAAGTGTTGATGGTAGGTGTTTGCCTTCACCTGTCCATCTCAGAGCTGCTGATTGTCGGCGAGTAATTGAGCCACCTGGCTCTCAAGGACAGCCAGGCGCTTGCCAGTGGGGTTGGAGCCTCCTTCTTGTTTCACTGTGGATGGCCGCCCAGAGTACAAACACCGTACTTTTGCATCGTGGCAGGGCTTACAGATAATGGAGCTTCTCTTACCAGCCTGCATCTGGCAAGAGATTTTCCTCGTCCTGCCTCGTTCGCAGGGTTCCTTCTCATTGTCATTGTCGCCATCATCAGGGTCATCATCAACGGGCTGCGCAATAGAAAGTCAGACATTACCTAGGTGTAGTAAATGGGTGACGTACCTGGGCCTTAGCCTTGCCTTTTCCTTTACCCTTTACCTTCGAGATTTCAACTACGGGTCTCCGCGGCGAAACTGATACCTCACTTGGGGAGGTTCCCCTCTGACTCCAAGCTGTTGCCGCCAGTGAGGTATCGGTTTCGCCGCGGCCAACAGCCTCCTCCTCCTCTTGTTGTTGTGGCCAGCAGGCCCGCTCCCGTGCCTCTTGCGCCGCCTTCTGCCTGGCTGCTGCCTCCTCCGCCTTCCGCGCCTTCACCCTCTCAATTCTAGCTAAGGCATCCCACATAATGCTATCTTTGTCTTCATCAACAGGGGCACCGGGACTCGGGGGATCGGCAGGGCGGGAAGAAGTACTGGCTCTTGGTTGGGTGGTGGTAGTGGTTCAGCTGGTCGACATCCTGAGGGACTTAGAGCTTTTTGAAGAAGTTAGGCCCATAACGGCAAAACTCTGGCCATTTTATACCGACCAAAATGGCTCACGGACCAATGAAAATTTTCCTTCAAATTGTACTCAGCTTATGGTGGACCAACGAAATTTTCCTGCTTACTAAAGGAACAAATGCCGATGCTGATGGCTTTTGAGGGCTCAAACCTAAGAGGGGGATACTGTCAAGCCCATGCCTCGGTGCCCCATTCCGTCACTCGGTATTCTGAGATCTACCGTTTATTGTAATCTCATCTTTATTGTTCTTTCTCGCTACACATACCCTTTCATTCTAGTCTCTCCTTATTGTCTTTTTCTCTACCCTGCAGGTACTACTCGTATAGCTCCTAGTAGTTAGTCTGGCACTCCGCACTGATGCGCCGATCCATAGATATAAATACTGCCTGTACGCTACTGTAGTTCCTCAGTTTAATTATCAACTTAGATTCCCTTTCCAACTGAGGTTATCCTCTTCACGTCCTAGACTTGAGACTTCCCTGTACTCTTGTCAATCTCTAGTCTTCTAACATTAGGACTTAGAAGTTCTTTGGTTTGCTCCTCAGGCTCATCGCCTCGAAGTACTCTCTATTCTAACCTTAGGAGCCAAGTTTTACAGTCTGCAGATGGCAAATGATTCATTTCATGGTCTGACTCACTTCTAGGCCCCCCCCTAGTACATATAAGGACATTAGTTGTTGAATGAAGGAACATCGTCGATTAAAGGTATAAAGTATGATCACCATATTTCTATTCTCAATGAAAGTCTCAATGAAAGTTCATTGTTCAGTGCTCGTGATCTGGTATATGTACCAGTTCTACTGCACGCCTGCACACCTCATCTATACTCCATCTTTCCCCTTTGCTTAGTCCATGCTTCAAATCCAGTACATCCCCGATCTCATCACATGCCATTAACACAGAATCAATGTCCTCTTTCGTATGGCTCGCACTTACACAAAATCTAACCCGCGATGTGACAAGCGGTGTCGCAGGATAGGCCACAACGACGATGACGATGGGAGTCTTTCGGTCCTTCATCATCCGATGGAACATGATCATTTTCGCTGGGTTGAAAAGTAGGAGGGGAACGATGGGAGAGGAAGGATGGCCATAAGTGATGAATCCAAGCTTGTCAAGTCCACGATGGAGGTAGTATGAGTTAAAAGAGAGGCGGCGGAGACGCATAAGACCTTCGGCTCCAGAAGCAAGGGGCAAAGGAAGGGACAGCCAGTGAGGAAGGGCACGTTGAGATATTGGACCAGGATGAGGATAATCGACAACCTGGTGAAGGGTAGATGACGATGAAGAGGGGTGAAGTCCAAGTTTGATGGCGCCAGGAACGGATCCATCATCGTCGATGCTCATGATGCTGGCCATACTAGCAATGATTTGAGTAAGTACTGGGGGGGCTATTGCTTCTGTATAAGCACCCGAGTAGCCACGGATTCGGAGACGATCAATGAGGGCTTTGTTTCCTGAAAGATACCCTCCTGAAGCACCAAAAGACTTTGTAAACGTTCCCATGAGAACATCAACCTTTCGTGGATCGACACCAAAGTAGTCGCAAACACCGCGTCCGTGAGGTCCAATGGCACCAATAGAATGGGCTTCATCCACAAAAAGATAAAACTTTATGAATGTGAGTTGATGAATAAAAGTAATCAGAGCCAGGGAACTGACCTTATACTTTTCCTTCAGCATTAAGACACTAGGTAGATCGACCATAGTGCCTTCCATACTATACATCCCTTCGACAATAAGCAGAATCTTCTTCCAAGGACGGTGAGTCTTAGGCTGTCCTTGACTTATGGCCTCTCGCAGAAGGGATTCGAGAGCCTCCATGTCATTATGCTTGAACATCCGCACATGCGCACCACTACTTCGAGCTCCAAACCGGATGGACGAATGATTTAATTCGTCTGAGATGATTAGACATCCTTTAGATACCAGCGCAGGAATGAATGTAGAATTGGTTGCGAAACCCATTGAACTAATCACGGCAGCTTCCATCCCGACAAATTTAGCGACCACGGACTCGGCCAAGGTGTGAAGGTCAGTGGAACCGCCTTCAAGCCTAGAGCCACAAGAAGTCACGCCGTAGCGCTTCATACTCTCTTCAACTGCATCAGCACAACCGCCGCGTGCTTGTGCAAAACCTAGATAGTTGTATGAAGAGACATTAAGGGCGCGAGTTCGCGTGTCGAGGATAATTTGAGTTTGATTGCAGTCGGGTGTGTAGCGGTCCAATAATGAGATCGTACGACCGGCAACGCCTGTGACAGGTTGAAGGAAGCACTCATCCATACGTTTCTTGAGGCGACGGGTATAGAACGAGTCAAAGTCAGAGTTGAGGGGCGCGTAACCCTATGAACGGGTTTGATCGTCATTTGGTACTATGGCAGCGCATTGAAAATCGAAAAATGACATACATCATGAGGTGTGAGGTGCTTATACGACTGTGCACGGAACCGTTTTCCGAGAAAGTCCCTCAAATGGCCAAGGACAATGAGAATAAGATAACTGATATACGTCGAAAAGAGAATGTAGTACGGAGGATCTTGTTCGACATGCCGAGGAACTGGCGCCCCTTGGGGATGCTGCGAGATGTGCCGATATTCCTCATTGTAACAGTGACCAAACTCTGTATGAACCGTCGTGTACAACTGCTCAGAGTTTGGTGGTTTGCCGACCGGGATAGCAAGACCGTCACTGTTACCACCATCTTCTTCAGTAAGAACTGTGTCTTCAGTAGAAGTCGTGAGCGAAGAGGATAGAGATAGCGCTGGTGTCGAAGTCGGGGTTCCTCGCTGAGCATTTCTGGCCCTTGCATCTGCCTGCGAGAGCGCAGAAAGGTAGGACGCGGCAGTGGGCGGTGAGGACGGCGAGTGCTTCTGCTTTTTAAAGATTGACGACGTCGGCGAGCTTCCTCTGTTTAATGCCATTGGTGAAGTTGGGTATGACGAGCGAGGCATATTGAGCTCTAGTTGAACCTGAGTTGAACCTCACTGTCAATTAGTAACTGATAAAAACCGACGCTTAAATAAGCTGTATGGGTTCTTCGGCACTTGTCCGGCCCAGCCTTATTGTTACAACGAACCACAACCACCGGTTCATCTGTGTCCAGGCCCAGAATGTCCGACTTCGACGACGAACTCCTAGAACTGGTCGAGGCTGACCCGAGCAAAGAGCGCAAACGGAAACGGAGCAATGGTAGCAAAAGTAAAAGTAGTCATAGCTCCAAAAGACGCAAGGCGGAGTAAGTGATGGGTCTATGCGCACTGTGTTGTTCAACTTTTCTCTTTTTAGAGTGTCTGACGATGAGCCGGAGAGCGAGGAAGAGGAGGATGACCCATATCCTCTTGACGGCAAATATATGGACGAAGCTGACATGCAACGGTCAGTAGCCCTGCGTTCTATATTCACATCGATAGCTCGTCGTTGAACACCTTCCCTCATCATCTTTAACCAACAACAATGCCTATGAATAATTCAACCTGGCACCCAATGTCTTTGAATTTCATATTGCTTTCAAAAAAGGCTTCTGCAGTTGCCAGAAGTTGAACGTGAAGACATAATCGCCACACGAATGGAAGAGCGGCAGAAGGTTCTGGATAAGAAGGCGTTAGTACTTCTGCTAAAGGAACAACGAGAAAGAGACCGATTAGGGGACACAGACGGAGGACCCACAGGGGTAGCCAAGGCTGCTAAGCGTGTGTTTTATATCTTATGTTCTAAACCTCTGTTCACTTGGCCTACTATCTCACAGGCCAACACACCGCTCGAGGTGCTACAAAGGAAAAGAGTAACAAGTTAGACGAGTTGAAAGCTAAACGCAAAGCCAAAGACGAGAAGAGCAAAGTGAGTTGGGACTCTTGCCATGGCTCTGTGATTCAATAGCAATTGATCATGTCCCTCACAGAACCGCACATACTCTCCCAAGCGGGAACGTTCTTCTTCTCCGATGGATATGGAAACATCATCATCCGACGAAGATGAGGACGGAGTAATTACTAAAGATGAGCAAGAAGAAGAGCGTGCTAATCGACTATTAAATGGCGGCCCCAGTGCTGTACAAAAAAACGAGATACCGGCTACTTTGGAAGATTTGGAACGTTGCCGTTTATCTCGTTCTTCGTTGCTCAAGCATTTCCTATCGCCGTGGTTTCCTCAATATATTAAAGGAATGTGGGTGCGCTATCTAATTGGAGGTGAAGGGAGAGAGCCTGTTTACCGGATATGTCAAGTCGATCGTGAGTATCGCGCTTAAGGAGCGTCCTCGTCATTAATTCGGCCTTTGTTCCTCAAGATCTGGTGGACGAGACTGTCAAACCTTACCGGATCGAAGAAAAGTGGTTCGATCGTCAGGCTGAGCTCGTCCACGGTCAAGCAAAGAGAAAATTCAATCTAGATCAAATTTCAAATTCTCGATTCACTGAGGTTTCACCACATTCTTTTAAGTATCTCTCAACGGAATTACTAACATTTTTGGTTCTCGCAGAAAGAATTTGATCGCCTTCAGAAAACGTTAATGCAGGAACAGGTCCCTCTACCGACAAAGTCCTCAATTGATACCAAAGTAGCAGAAATGCTCCGACTTACCTCGCAACGATGGACAGAAAGCGATGTTAGCAACATGCTCAACAAAGCTCGTACCCTCGGCTCCCAACGACCACCGGGATGGACAACTTTAGAGCGTTCTAGACTGAACCAAGCCCGAACACTTGCCCTACGACGACAAGATCACTCCGAGGTTGCTGAATTGGATGCCCAAATTGCTGAGTTTGACGCGAGATACGGAAATGGCAACTCAAATGGGAATCAAGATGAGAATGGACGAAATAGCAGTGGGAGTGACGTATTGATAAAACTTAGTGAGAAGAATCGGAAGGCGAATGCGGAGGCCGTGCGAAGGGCAGAGCAGCAAGAGGCAGAAAGAAAGAGGAGAGAACGAAAACTTGCGATGAATGGTAGTGGAGCGGCAACACCAGTCGACCCTAGTGCGAGGTTGAAGATTGTTCCTAGGACCTTGATCGCAAGAACACCGACGCCCGGTCCTTCGAGGTATGTTATTTTTTTTCTATCGAGGTGCGGTCATAATGAATTTGCCAGACCTGGGACTCCTACCGCTTCTGCGTTGTCCAAGGAGGCAACTCATTCTGCTTCCCCTTTGTCTGGCTCGTCCAAGAGCAACGGACAATCATTCGAAGCATCTGTCATTGCATCCCTCGAGGTTGATTTGGGAGATTTCTGAGGTTCTGCTGTAGTGTGGGGTGGATAACAGTGTAGAGTACAGTTATTCATGTGTAGATTTTTTGTTTGCCCAAGGGTATCTAGTTGTGCGTATAATCAATTGCTGTATACTAAGATCTAATGGATACGTACGTACGTACAGTAACAGGTGAAATGAGAGTGAAGTTTTAGTTACTCAACTTATTCTGATTCCCTCTCCAAAAATGCTGTCCCACTGTTTTTCACCTTACTCAAGAACACCTCATACCACTTCGCGATCATACCCATCGGGACAGCAATGTCAGGCCCCAAACTCGAGCTCGATGCAAAACCAGATATATAGTTGAACAGATGCCTAACGATGCGTTCGGCGAGCAACGTCGGATCTGGTGGAAGTCTTGCGATGGCAGCAGAGTTTGTATGATTAGGAGCCTGAACCTGCGATGGGGTAGATTGAGATTGAAGCTGAGGAAGAATCTGTGTCAGGGGTTCGATGGATATACCAAGAACGGCGTTGGTTTCAGTGTTAGGATCCACTTGCGTGGAATTGGGTGTGGATCCAAAGGCGCGGGTGGTCGTGGAAGAAGTAAACGAGGAACGAAGGCGGAAAATGGCAGAAGGTTTTTCGTTCGAGAGCCTGAAGAAAATCGTGTCAGTTGCAAGGTTGTGAGAATGGATCACGCTTACATTCCTAGGAGTTGAAATCCTTTTCCGGGCCAATGTAAGTGGACTGTAGCCCCATATCCATCTGGGAAGGGTATAGTCCCTAGGAGAAAAACACAAACATGGTTGATACTACTAGCATTTGGCAGTTCAAATATCGCATGTGTCTCATCGATTTGTTGTATATTTGTCTGTAAAAGGCGGCCTGCTACGATGCAGCCGAACATGATCTGATCCAGGAGGTTGTAAAGGTCGAAGATGTCGATGAAGTTTGGGTGGAGAACCTTATACCAATGCTACGGTCATTCGAAAACATTCTGGTGAGTTCGCGATCCACGTGGCAGTATCGATGATCTCGAATAAGGCGTACTATGTACTAACCGTTCAATTCAACTCTTCAGTGGATCTTCCGACTACCTATAACGGCAGATTTCGTTCGAAAATCGGCCTCGGATCAAGTCAACTACATCCGGCCTACCTCTGCCCTACTCATCTTTCCTATAATCCTCAACTCTAGTTCATCTGCAAAACCTGTTTTTTCGGCTAATTCTCTGAGAGCAGCTGAGAGCGCTTCCCAGCAGCCAAAGCACCCAGAGCAGGGTGGAAATTTTGCTCTCGGTGCTTTGGGTGCTGGAGAGCACTCTCCAGCCAGTACCCTTGCTCTGGTGAACATACAGGTTTTGCAGATGTTGCCTGACAAAAAATTGCTGGGATATCTGACTGGGATGACTGAATTTGCTGAACTTCACTCAACAATTATTCATAGCCAATGTAATTGGAGGTAAGTCAACCAAAGGCACAGTGAGCAGCATCAGCCTCAGTGTTAACCCCAGCAATGGTCTCAGAGAATGGCTCCGATAGGCACAGGCCAGATTGCCTTTGTTACATGCATCAAATCAGTTCAGAATTTGACCTATGTTGGAATAACTAGTTGCCCCCAATGGGGACACAAAACTTGCTTGTGGTGTTCTGGCTGTTGAGCAGGCAAGGGGTGCAAAGTGGGGACACTCTCTAGCACCATACCTGGGTAACTGTTATAGATCTCTGCAAAAGTTCGTTTCTCTCTCTTTAGCTTGAGGTGTTGAGTATTGAAGTAGAGTTCATATTCTCCAGATTCACTGTACACATGTATCACTACCATGTTCATCAATTGACAAGTTACCAGTAAAGTCAATTCAACTTGACTCAAACTAAATCTTTGTACTCGAACATTCCATAAACTTCTAGATATTTAGCTAGATATAAAATATGTGTCAGTAGATACAGAATGGCACTCTTGTTTTACTCTGCAACTATTATCATCACGTGAACCGCTTCATTCGTACTTCCTTAGTATTGACTTGCTCTATTATTGAACGTACACTAGCTCGCACTAGCATTGACTCGCTCTGTTACTGTAGTAGCTTCAAAATAAGTAAGATTATCTCTTTGACAAATTACTAACATATTCTCTAGCTTAGCTACACTTACCAACCTCGACATTACCTTCAACAATCTCAACGTCGTTTGGCATTTGGACCAAACTCTAACAGTAACAAAGCTTATAATCTCAGAGAGGCAACAAGAGTGAGAGAGAAGCAAGTTGGATTCCAGTACAAGATACAGCCTGTTTATATACATAATTGTATGGCAGTATTACATAAGGAAGTACTGAGGAATCCGCATATAGTAAATGACTACATATGACTACATATAACATATCATAACACATCATCATATTAGTGGCATGTGAACAGCATAGCCGCATTCAACGCTGGCCTTCGTGATCATACTATGATTCATGAAAGCAATAGGTGCTTTTTTGATGCCAGTTGTGACACAACATTTCCCAACTGACCAAGGAGGTTACATCTGTAATACCTGTATTTTGGGCTAAGAGCTTGAAAGCAGCTGACAGTACTGTCCAGTTAGTATCCTTGCTCTTGCAAACATCCAGGTTTCGCAGATATAATCTTTGAGGAGGGATTGTGTTGGATGAAAAGACTCTGAACATTGAGAAGGCATTGTATTGGATGTGATATTGTTGAACAGTCAATATACATTTATTGAACACTCAAGGAACATTACATGTGGATATGAGCACTAAAAGTGTAGGTAAAATTTCTGCGGCACTAATATTTTGTTGGAAGGCATTCTCTTCCATGGCCAATTCATTCTGCTCCCACATGACTCAAACTACTTAGTTCACTCTTCACATGCTTCTTCCCCTCAGCTGTTTTCTACCTCATTGGTTCAATGCTGAGGGTAAGTTTCTTTTGTTTCATTATACCTACACTATGTCACAAAGCAGCAGAGGCGGAGTGACCAAATGGAACAGCGGAGTGGAGCAACTGAGCAGAACGACGAAGTGGAGCAACTGGTCCCAAGATAATGACAGAGAGGTCAAGATAAGGGACCAGGCTGTGAGGGGTTGGCTTTATATACATAATCCGATCTGTGAGAAATGACAATGTAATACTATACAGTTTAGGAACAAGGAAGGTGGCGGAAGCCAGTAAAAGGAGAAGGGTAATAGGTGGATTGGTAATTGATGATGGGGGTCAGGTGGATCAGTAATCGATGGGATTTGATAGTGATGTAATCATACAAGTAAGGGTGTTGAGACAGTGAGAAAAGGAAAATGATAGGGGCTACGTACTTCATGACACACTACAATACTCACAAACTAGATAGCTTTATTCAATCTTTGTATAGGTATAATAAAAGCTGTTTTCTACCTCATTGGTTCAACACTGAGGCTTTATTCAATCTTCATATAGATACTCAACCTCTAAGAGGTTATGGGTCTTCCCTAGGTCTTTTCTTATACGAGATTCGATTTTGAACCAACCTTGCGGCAGTATTCTGCAACAGCTCAACAAACTTTTTCTGGATTGACCCGTTTGTTCTTGCTTACTGGGATCAATCTGAAACTTGCCACTGTGGATGCATACTGAATATCGTCGATCCGGGAATTAAACTCCATTTCCCCACATTTCCGAATTCATGTGAGACTAAGAGGAAGGAATCATAGTATAACAACTGCAGCCATGGTAGACTGTGGAGCTACCGCCCTGTTTTTAAACCAAGACTTTGCCACCCGGAACCATGTAAGATGTGCACCCCTTCATAAACCAATTGACGTTTTCAATATCGATGGAACACCTAACCGAGCTGGACGGATAACCCATTTTGCACATCTAGCACTTACAGTGGATAATCAAGAATGATGGATGGACTTTCTGATCACCAACCTAGGAGGTGAAGACGTCATCCTTGGACTCCCCTGGCTGCGGAAGGTCAATCCGGAGATTGACTGGGAGAAAGGACAACTTTCAGTAAAGCCCCCTCGAGTAGCTATAGAAGAAGTCCCAGACAAGGAGATCTCATACTCTCATCTAGTCGCCACTAACACAGAAAGCCCAACCCCTAAACTCCCGGACCTGGAACCTCTCGTTGAACCCCCTCACATTGAGGTGCCACTGGAAGCAACCCTTGAAGAGAGCGAATCAGCAGTGGTGGAGGAACCACCAATACACCGAATCCGAGCCAATCATAAAACTCGCCGGGCATGGGTAAAAGCAGGAATCCTAGAGGAACAGACTGAGGAAGTCTGGTGCGCTGCAGGATTCACTTACTCCCAGCAGCTAGCAGAGGAAGCCAACCGAGACAAACCTGTTAAAACCTTTGAAGAAATGGTCCCTGAGCAGTACCGTGATTTCAAGAAGGTTTGTGCAGAATCCGCCTCCGAACGACTACCTGCCCACCAACCTTGGGACCATGCAATTGATCTCATACCTGGAGCACCAGTGACCATGCGCACCAAGATTTACCCCATGTCCCTAAACAAGCAGGAGGAGTTGGATCACTTCCTGGAAGAGAATCTGCGGAAAGGCTACATTGTTCCCTCAAAATCACCCATCTCGTCCCCAGTCTTCTTTGTGAAGAAGAAGGATGGGAAACTCCGTTTCATTCAGGATTATCAGAAACTGAATGAGTATACTGTGAAGAACCGCTACCCCCTCCCATTGGTGGCTGATATAATTAGTCGGCTTCAAGGGGCTCGATATTTCACCAAGTTCGATGTACGCTGGGGCTATAACAACGTCAGAATCAAGGAAGGTCACGAATGGAAAGGGGCCTTTGCAACCACACGAGGGCTGTTCGAGCCTAAGGTTATGTTCTTTGGTCTCACAAACTCCCCTGCAACGTTTCAAGCACTTATGAATGCTATATTTGCAGACCTCATTGCAGCTGGAAAGGTAGCGGTTTACCTAGATGACATCCTCATCTTCAGCAGTGATCTTCAGGAGCATTGACGAGTGGTACAGGAAGTACTAACCCAGTTGGAGAAGCATGATCTATACCTACGACCAGAGAAGTGTGAATTCGAACAACAACAGATTGAATATCTAGGCCTTATTATATCGGAAGGGGAGGTGAGGATGGACCCGGTAAAGGTAGCTGCAGTTCGCGACTGGCCAGCCCCCACTAACCTTCGAGAGCTACAAGGGTTCCTTGGATTTGCTAACTTCTACCGGCGCTTTATCCGGAACTTTGCAAGGATAGCCAGGCCCCTGAACGACCTTACTCGGAAAGATATATCCTTCACCTGGATGGACACCCAGCAACAAGCATTTGATACCCTCCGAGAGGCCTTCATCTCTGCACCCATCCTAGCCCTATGGACACCAGACAGACCAACCAGAATCAAGGTAGATGCTTCAGGCTTTGCTACCGGCGGTGCCCTCATGCAGAAGCAAGATGACGGCCAATGGCATCCCGTCGCCTTCAGATCAGCCTCTATGCAACAAGCAGAACGGAACTACGAGATCTACGACCGGGAAATGCTAGCCATCATAGAAGCGTTGAAGGACTGGAGGAACTTCCTAGAGGGACTACCCCAGCCATTTGACATTATCACGGATCACTCTAACCTCGAATTTTGGCGCACAGCTCAAGACCTCACCCGCCGCCAAGCTCGCTGGGCTCTATACCTTTCACGGTTTGACTTCCACATGATCCACCGCCCTGGTAGAATAAATACTCAAGCTGATGCTCTTTCCCGTATGGCAGCCCACCAGGTACTAGACAATGAGGATAATCGACAGCAGACAGTCCTTAAGCCCAACCATTTCACCAAAATTGCAGCTTCTATCCTATGGAACCCCTTAGAGGATTGCATCCGGAAAGCCTCACAGTGGGAAGCACAGGTACTGGAAGGTCTCAAAACAGTCAAAGAGCACGG